CACCGAGCCCCACGAGCGGCGCGGCCGCCGCGGCGCAAAGTTAGCCCGGCGCCCCAGGAAGAGACCTGCAGCCGCCGGCCGCCCCGACCCCCGTCTCGGCCATGGGCGAGCACCCCAGCCCGGGACCCGCAGTGGCCGCCTGTGCGGAGGCGGAGCGCATCGAGGAGCTGGAACCCGAGGCCGAGGAGCCGCTGCCCGCGGCGCCGGAGGACGTGAGTGCCCCCTCCCCGCCCGAGCAAACTTTCTAGGGGGAAGTAGGGGACGAACTGCCCCCGTCTCGCCCCCGCGGGGCAACTTGAAGGTTTCAAGGTGACGCGGGAGCGCCCGGGATTGGCCGGGTCCCCGCGGGCGAGAGGGGGCGGAGGGACCCAGCTCCCCCAAACGCACGCGCGCACCACCCCTGCTGGGGCTTCCGCGGCTTCCCTGCGGGACACTGCTCCGGAACCCGCTGCTCAAGCCGCCACACCGGGGACCCGCTGGCCGCCAGAGCCCCCTCCCCGCGCCTGGTGCAGTGCCCGGGACACGGCGTTTTCCCGCAGAGGCGGCCGCGTCACAGCAGTGGCTACCCTTCCCCTCCCACTCGGGACCTGCGGGCTCTTGGGACCTCTAGAAGGAGCGGATGCCGCCGAGTCCCTGGCCTCTGGCAGCGCAGACCGGTCTGGCGACCCCTTTCTCTGCTCCCGGATTAGCTCTCGCCCGGCACCTTCACTGTCGCGACACTGATTGGAATTCAAACTGGCCCCTCTCCCTGAAGCCGGCCGACGGAGGGACGGAAGGGAGACTGGAGCGGTTTGTCTCTCAGAAGGGGGCTCGGGAGTCCAATACCGCGTCGGTGGCAGGAACGGTCCCCTGGGCGAGGATAGGGAGGAGCTGCCCCAGAGGGCTTCCCTGCCATCTGCTGCCCGAGTCTCCCTCCCTCCAGTCCTGCGAACCATCGGTGGAGCCGGCACCGGGGAGTCCTGGGAACTGGAGTTTCTTAAGCTTCTCCCTTCAGGGATGAAGCTGCAAATAGAGGGGAAACACTGGGCGGACACCCTGTCCTGCCCTGACCCTCCCTCAGGATGGGGAGATGGGAGTGAGCCAGGACCCCCAGCCTACAGAACGTAACCTGGGGACGCTTAAGGGCTTCTCTCGGCTTTATTTCCTGTGGTTAAACCTATCGCTTTCTTCTGGCCCCCGACCCGTGCTAGGATCTCCTGTACTCACTCACCAGGTAACACTCAGTCTTGGAAGAGACTGGATGTGCTTCAGGAGATTTGTGACCCCCACCCCCAACCCAAACGGCAGGCAAAATGTTAGTGCTTCTGTAGGGGTGAGTCTTCCTGGGTGGGAGTCTCTGGCCCCCAGCAGGTTAAGAAGGGCTGTAGCAGGGCTGATGGAATAGCAGCGGACATGCATTCCCCGGCCTGGGTGCAGAGAGGACATGCGCTTTAGGCAGCAGAAGTTATTAGAGGCACTTGGACAGAGTTGAACAGCTTTATCTGGTAATTGTTGAGAATCACCCTTGTTCTGCTCATCCCTCCACCTGCCTGTCCCAGAACAAGAAAACACCCTCCACCCTCACCCCAGAAATTCCTTCCCTTTGCTCAGCGTAGACTCTTTTGAGGGGAGCTCTTCCCAGGTTTTCCCTGCTCTCTTGTGCTCATCTCAAGCCTGGTGATGACTCCTGGGCAGCAGCTGGGAAGCTATGTTGGAAACATCAGAGGGCTACAGAGGCCTTGGTGATAAGTCTGTGTTTCTTTCTTTTTCTCCTCTTCCTCTTCTCCTGCATGGCCTCCCTCTCTGCCAGCACTGGAAAGTCCTGTTTGATCAGGTATGTGAGCAGTTAAATCCTCCCTCTTCCTTCCAGCCCTCCCCACAGTCAATCTCCCTGCTTGCGTGGGCTTCCCTAAGCTCTGTGCTCCTGAGAGGGTGACATGGGGTGGGGGTGTGGCTTAGTGCATCTCTGGGGCTGAACGACACTGCTCTCAGTTACTCTCCAGGTATCAGAAGGAGGCATTGGGCTTCCCTGAGACAATCCCTCCCCTCCCCCTGCTCCTCCCAACTCTGCTGCACCAGAGCCAGGTTTATACCTTGTGGAAATTGGAATATTAATTGAATGCCCAATAAATTCTCTATATGCCAGAGGATTGCAGTAGGGGGCCAAGGAGGTGGGAGAAGGGCTTGGGTTAATGTCCCCCCTCCCTTTCTACCACCACCACCGAAGGTCCATGGCCACCACTGAGGTCAAACCTCTGCCATCCTTATGTGCCCTTTTGAAGGCTGATTCCACTTCTTGAATTCTTCGGTAGGGATGGGGGAGTGCTTGGGAGTTGCAGAAAGAAAATGGCATGTGATGGTTTGCCATGCCTAGAGCCTAGATGTGGGGAGTGGGTTGGGAGTGTTGGCTTTTGAATTTGGAGACAAACATTGGACTTTCAGTAAGGAAATATCTCTCCTGTTAGCTTGGTACTTGAGTTGGGTGCTGTTGTGTCTCCCAAGACTCCCCTGCTTTCTTCTCCCTGCCTGTCCGATAGTGCAGAAGGAGAAGAGGCAGGGCACGTCCCCGTGTCGGGAATCACGCCTTGAAGAGATCAGTCTGGTTGAGCCAGGGGGAGTGTGTTGGGTTGGAGTGGGAGATAAAACTGAGAGAGTAGCTTGGATGCAACTTCAGGCAGGGGAAGCCTTTGAAAGTTTTTTTTAGCAGATTTGTTTCTTGATTCCAAGCAATGCTTTGGAAAGATCCCTCTGTGATGGTGGGATAGAGGTGAAATGGATTGCAGAGATGAGACTAGCCAGGAGTCTGCTCACTGAATGGAGACAGGCACCTAGACTTGGAGGATAAGAGTGAGAACGGAAAGGAGGAGGGACAAGGAATGGGATAATTGTAGGGTCTTGGCAGACGGTTTGGCGAAGCACCAAGCGTTATATGTTGTTATACGTGAGGTTGTCATGAGTCGGCGCTGAGTCAACAGCGGCAACTAACAACACAACAACAGATGATTGGAGCTTTGAGTGGAATCCCATACACAGCGTCAAGATTCTGAACCTAAGAGGAAAAAGAAAAGACGAAGCAGGGGGTAGTTGTCAAAAATGATGGCTTTGGTTTTGAACAAGTTCAATTTGAGGAGCCAGCTAAATGCAGATGCCAAACGTGGACATGCAGCTTGAAAGACGTGGCGGTCCTGGGGTGAGGGTGAGGGGTGGGTCTCGTTCACATTAACCACTGAGGCTTGGCTGTGGTTTGGGGTGCGTGCACTGGCTCCGGTCCTGATGGGTGGAGCATCTCTCCCTCAGCTCCCTCCTGAGTGCCACCCACTCTCCCTCTGGCTCTTAAGAGCACAGGGGCTGCTGGCCTGCCGCCCTGAGGCAGGAGGGAGCTGGCGCTGCTGCCACCACTACCACCACCACCACCAAGCTGCCAGCCCTTCACACCTCCTGCCAGATTTAGAATCAGAACCTAGAACAAAATGTATCCCTTTTTTCCTCTGTCTGGGCCTGTCTTTCTCATTTGATTAATTTCCTTTGCCAGTCCCTGTGTGTGTGTGTATGTTTGTGTGTGTGTGTGTTTATTTTTTAAAATGAACCATTTGGGTGAATGAAGGAAGCTTCTAGTACAGAGATCTTGGAATTTGACAGAGCAAAGAGAAGGTGTAGCACCTTACATTATCAGGTGGCCTATGGAATCTGATTTTTCAAACTGGAGGAGATCCTGGATGTTACTGAGAGCTTCCTCCTACTTCTGGGAAGGCAATGCAGAAACCATTCTGGAAGGACACAATTAATTCTATAAAAGAAATGACCAACACTTACTCTGGGCAAATGGCTTTTCTCACTGTGAGTTGCCCCATGTCTGCTCCCCATCCCCATGCAGCACTAGAAGCCCATTTCTAGCTTCTGTCATCCTGTTGGTGCTTTGTGTGTAAGGAGGGCCGTTTGTGAGCAGAGCTTTGACCTCTGGTCAGATGTCCAGTTCCTCTGCGCTCATGTCTTACTTCATTAAAACAACATAGCCTAGTCCCTTAATAGGGCTAAATGAAGAATCTGTATGAAGCTTCACAAATGAACACGACCTCAGAAGGATGCCAAGTTTCTCAGAAAGCTGAAGTGTTGTATCCTTGCTGCCTCTTCCTCTAGGCCTGCTTGAAGGTAGAGTTTGGTGATTGGTGAACTTGGTACACTTAGAAAAGAAAGTTTGGCTGGGGGTTGCAGACAGCCTCCCTACCCCTTAGTACAGAAATAGACACACTGTTGGTGAATGGGGGCAGCTGTCAATTCCTTCAAGCAAATGTGGCTCTGGAATGCATCTTCCAGAGGTCAGTGGAATGGGATGGTGGCCCCAGTCAGGCATGTCCTCCTTCCCTTCCTGAGTCAAGGGGACACCAGTGGTCACCCAGTTTCAAACTGGAACCTGCCAGGGCCTGTTTATCAGGTCTTAAGATGAGTTGGACCAGTTCATGCTGTCTGGTTCTTCAGTTGGTGGAGTAGCCCTGACCCAGCATGAAGCCAACTGGACCTTAAGAGCTAGAAGCCATGACCTTGGCCTTGTTGGTCCTGTATGATCATCCCTCAACTAAATGGCCAGAGATGCATTCTGTGGGAGTTGGAGGTGAAGAAAACAGGTGGCCCAAGTCCTTTGGAATTTTACCTGGACCCCTGGTGTCCTGCGCGTTTGTCTGGGAGCTTACGCAGGGGTGTAGCAGGGTCAGTCCACGCCATGCCCTGTCACCCATTCTCCCACTTCCTCCCCGTGGGTCCCAGAAGTTAAAGGAGGTAGGAACCCCGAAGGTCTTCAGTTCAGCCCCCTGATTTTCCACGTGTTCGTTTCCTGTTTGAACTTCATCTCAAGGGAGTTGCCCTTTTATATCCTTGGGATCTTGATGGTTTTCCTAAATGTTTTCATAGATTTTAAGTTACCATCAATATTAATCTTTTGTAATATTTGGTGCAAGCACTTTCCCAAAACCTTTGGGTTCCCTCTTTGTTGTTGTTGTTAGCTGCCGTCGACTCATAGCAACCTTCACAGGACAGAGTAGAACTGGCGCATAGGGTTTCCAAGGAGCGGCTGGTGGATTTGAACTGCTGACCTTTTGGTTAGCAGTCAGGCTCTTTTACCACTATGCCATCAGGGCTCCATCTTGTTGTAGTGTATATAATATTAAGGTAAACATGACTTAGTTTGCTGTAATTGAACCTGTTGGACTTTTCCTTCGTGATTCCTTCTGTTACTTCAGACCTGAGAGTGTTTTCATCATCTCTAGACCTCGTAAATATGCACGTCTATTTTTCTTTTTTCCTCTTTTTTATTTTATTTTATTTCTTTATTGCGTTTTAGGTGAAACTTTATAGAGCAAATTAGTTTCTCATTTGCACTTCTATTTTTCTACGACTTAAAAAAATCATCTAACCCTTTACTCCATCTGTATTTTATTTCTATCCATCACTTATTAAGAAACCCTTCCTTTAAACATTGTTTGAAAAATTATATCATTTGGTAAATTTTTATATGCAGTTAGGTTTATTTTTTATTTCTGATCTATTCCATTAATATTTATAATTTTGCACAGGTAATGTACCCTTTGTGGAGCCCTGTGGCACAATGGTTAAGCACTCGGCTGCTGACGCACCCAGCGGCTCCATGGGAGAAAGACCTGGCTATCTGCTTCCGTAAAAGATTACAGCCTAGAAAACCCTATGGGGCAGTTTTCTCTGTCACATGGGGTTGCTATGGGTCGAAATTGACTCAGCAGCACCTAACAACAACAATGTACGGTTTAGTTATTCCTTTATATCTCTTATGTAGGTTTCCTACAAGCTCCTCTTTTTCTGGTTGTGCTTTGATCGTTTCACTCTCGGTCCCTTCCTGAACGCCAGGGTCTCCCCTGAACCCAAGCTCTCAAGGATCCAAGGTCAAATAGCAGGTCAGTGGCAGATATCGGACTGGCGCCAGGTTAACCCACAAAGGGCTTCCTGGGTTGGAAGAGCCATTTCCGAATTTGCCCTTAAAAATGCCTCCAAGATCTCCAAATGTTTAATGAGTCAGAGGGTTTGAAACAGTGTTTTGCTAAGTCAATAAGACACAATAACTTTACAAGCTCAAACTAGAAAGAGGGAAAAGGAAGAATTGAAAGAAACTTGATGATATCACTGTGTTTCCCTTTTCCCCTTCCCACTGGGGAGCATGCATTTCCCAGAGCCCAGAAGGAGACCTCCGCTTTGCTAATCCAGCAGAAGCAGTGGCATCACTAGGGTTGGTGTCACCTGGTGTAGTAACTCTTGGTGTCACCCTCATGCTAATTACCACAATATTGTAGCTAAAACACCAGAAAATTTAACGAATCAGCAACTGTAAAAACACCAGCAGCAACTGTAACAACAGTGCATGCTTGTAGCACGCGCAGACCACGTAATTTGAAGCGGCATTGGAATTGGGTAATAATGACAGCTCCGACCAGAGTGCATTAGAAGGTTCAAAAAGTAAATTAGCATAGAGTTTTAGCCTTGTAGGCATATTGATACATGTAAGCTGGGCTTATGAAAAAATTCTTTTTGTTATAACTAACTACAGGAATACTTTTGTAAAAAATAATACATTTCTGCTGAAATACTGCACAAAAATTTTACAGACAGTCATTTTGGTGTCACCCCCTCTGAGAGTGTCACCCAGTGCCATCCGTACCCCCTCATCCTCCTAGTTAGGCCACTGATCAGAAGGAAAGCAGACAAGTCCTGGCTATCCCACTGAAATTATAACCATGTGCCACGAACAGGAAGCTTGTATGGGCAGCTTTGGACAGAACTTTGGATTTGGAGTCAGACCGACCTGGCTTCAAA